ATGCTGGCTCTTACCAGAGAACAAAAACAATAACCCTTTTACAGGATTCTCCAGAGAAAAAACTGTGCTGGTTTATAATTGTGTAAGTCATTCTACAAATCACATGCAAAAAGACTCCTGGTTCTTCTCTTAACTTAATGGAAAAAATACAGCTCTGAGGACAGCAGGACTGGGTTTGAATCCCACCTAGGCTCTTCGTATGTTGTGAGACAAGTACATAATCACCCTCACTTTGTTTCTCTGTCTGTAAAATGAAGTCAGTAGAATTATATGTCAGCTAATAATACAAGTCAACTAATGCATGTGCAGTGCCCATCAGCAGCCCATCTTTAATCACTTATTTCACACATATCTACATTCCTTGTGTAGGCACTGAGGTAAGCACTGGGAATATAATGACCAACAAGGCAGACCTAAATAGCAGGTGTTGCCTCAGTCCCAAAAATTCAAGGGTGCAGAAAATGTAACTTTCCTTATTGTTGTATAACTGAACTCAGTGCACTGAATCTCAGTCATTTTGCAGTCCACTTTCCTTAGGGTGGAGCTCTGGTGGCACAGAGGTTAAGGTATTCAGCTACTAACCAAAAGGTTAGCTATCCAAATCCACCAGCCACTCTGAAAGAAAAAAAATGAGGCAATATGCTTCTGTAAAGATTTACACCTTTGTAAACCCTATGGGGCAGTTCCACTCTGTTGTATAGGGTCACTATGAATCAGAATTGACTCAATGGCATGGGGTTTCATTTGTGTTTCTTTAGGGTTGTAGTGATTTCAGTGGAGAGTCGTGATGCTCTTGAGGGTTGTGTCACTGCCTATCCACACAGTTTCTCTTGTCCCCCACTACATCCCTATGACTCTCTGGACCTTGGTCACTGAGGAGTCCATGTAGGTCACACCATGTTGGACCCTGGTTTCTGGCTGCAAGCCTCTTTGCATTTGTTGGCTTTCTCCACACCTGCCCCCACACCCTCTTCAGAACACCCCACTCTTCATTATTACTTTCTCCAAGCTGCTTCCATGCTACCCCAAGGGGAACTCCCCAAAGCCCACATCTAATCCTACATTTTCCTGGCTTAAAACTTTCCAAAAACTTTCCAGTGGCCCTTGTAGTCTTAATTTTGGCCCTGTTCACCTTTAGCAAATCCCTGTTTACTCTCCAGCTCATCTCTCAACACTCCTCCCATCTGCCCCCCTACTACCAAACCAAATAAAAGCCATGATTAAAATGCATGTCCTCACTTAATATGTGCCAGACACTTACATTAGCTCATTTAAATCCTGGCAATAACCAATAATAAGGTAATAACCAATAATAAGGTAATTTTTATTTTTCTCTTCCTTTTAACTGATGAGGAAACTGAGAACTGAGGAACTGAGCTGTTCAGATCACACTGTTCGAGAATGGCAGAGCAAGGAGTCAAACCCAAATAGTCTAGGTTCAGTATCAGGGTTTTAGCCACAGTGTTATGCTCTCTGAAATAAAAGAGCTTTGCCTAACAGCCTGTCTTCTTTCTCACCTCCAAACTTTGTGTATTACCTTGCCTGGAACATTTTCTCCTCGCGTCTCTCTCATCTTACTTACACAAGCTCTGGTAGTGTAGTGCCTAAGGCACTTGACTGCTAACCAGGAGGCTGGTGGGTTTGAACCACCAGCCACTCCTCGGAAGGAAGGTTGGGCAATCTGCTTCCATGGAGATACTGCATCAGAAACCCAAGGAGGGGTCGCTATGAGTCGGGTCCTACTTGATGGCCCATAACAACAACAACAACCCATTTTTAAGATCTTCATCCTCTCAGACCCCTTCCCTACTGCCAGCATGGCTCAGGAGCTCTGTCTGTGCTTTCCCCAGCAGAGCTTTGGCCAGTAGGTGCAGTGAAGAGTTGCTTTCTTGTCATATGCCCCTCTGAGGTAGAAACATCTTATTCATCTTGGAATGCCTGGTGTCTGGCCTGGACCTGGACCACAAACAGCGCCAGTGAGTATCTGTGGGATGAGTGATTATTAGTTCCACTAACCTTACACTTTGTCAAGGTTGAATGAATTCCTAGGACCAATCCATCATGGGCATTTATTAAGTAGCTGCTATGTGCCCAGACCTGAGCCAAACACTCTGGGAGAAATAACAACAATGAATGTAAGATCCAGTTGTGATTTACCTGGCAAGTTTCATCGTGACCACACCAAGGTCGACACAGGGTAATGACCTCTGCACCCAGTGTTAATTTCAACTCCTCTGCCACTTTTCCTTCTCCTCCAGCTCCTCTTGCCTCCAGGCTTTCTATCATTATGCTTTCTTCCACCTTCCTTACTAATTCAGCTCAGAGAAAAGGACCTGGCACACTTGTTTACTGAAGGGACAGTGACTGATCTCAGTGGTTGATCATGTCTCCTAGCAAGAGGAAGATTATTATCTTTTTTTGATGGATGGGGATTCTTCTATTCTTGGGGAGAGGAGTAAAATAAATGGAGTTACAGATTGTAAGAGTGGGATACCTCCTTGGAAATTGTTTAATTCTTCCCCTAATTGTAAAGATGAAAGTAGGCCCAGAGGCTTTCTAACTGTCACCCAGTAACTGGGCCAAAACTAGAACCCAGGTTCTCTCACTGTTGGTTGTTGTTTTCTCAAAATCAGTATCCTTGTCCTCAAATCCCATAATTAGCAAAATTCATAGACCAGGACTCATAGTTAGTTCTATGTTGTTGTTATGTGCCATCGAGTTGGACCTGACTCATAGCAACCCCTCCTTGGGTTTCCAAGGCAGTATCACTACAGAAGTAGATTGCCCCATCTTCCTTCCGAGGAGTGGCTGGCGGGTTTGAACCGCCAGCCTTCTGGTTAGCAATCAGGTGCCTTAGGCACTATGCTACCAGAGCTCCCAGTTAGTTCTATAATCAGTCTTATTTTTAACTACTCCCATTGCCTTTAATCTATGATCTAAGAGAATATATTAATGTGTATCACAGTTTTCAGGTGCTGTGCCAGGCAGTTAAAATACAGGCACTCTAATCCACTCACACATCAGTGTTCAAGATCTATCTTAAGATGCAAAATTTTGTCAGAGAAGGTTAATAACTAGCTAATAACTAGTCAGGATTTGAACACAAGCCCACATGCTCAGTTTCCTTGGCCCATTGCCAAGGTGGCATTTCCTCTCTATTGTTACTTTCTTTTCATACTCTTCTCTGCTTACCTTCACCAACCCCCACACCTCCAAAGAAAGTCTCCTTCCAATTTCCTAATCAATACAATGATTCCTGTTGAAATATATCTAACCTCAAGCCAAGACATGGGTCTAAAACTCACTCAGGGAGAGGGAGCTCTGGGCAGTGGCAGCCTCTGGTCTGGCTTTGTTTTCTTTCATTCTTTTATTAGCTGCATAATTGGCAGCTCAATTAATCTGCTCATCTGTGAAGGAGGATGGATCACAATGAGCTACTCCATTTCCAGAAGCCATTCTCTGAGGTAGCATAGCCAGGCCCTGAGTGCAGGCTGGCTCCTTGATGGAACGCCGCCCCAGGAACTGGGGTCAATTAGTGGACAGATTAAGCAATTATTAGTTCCTAACGAGGACGCCTGGCATCATTACCCTGCCTGTTTACTGGCCAACTGCAGCTTTAATATGTAGACCAACAAATAAATTAGGGCACCTGGTCCACTGCCGTGTCTGCAGAGAAGTAAAGGATGTCCAACTGGCTTTCAGCTGCCGATGGATCCTCAGACCTGGCCTATTGAAAAGCCTGAGATGTACTTCATTGGTCACGGCAGCTTTAGAACATGCTCTGGAGAGATTTTTCATTCCAGAAGCTAAGTACTTGCCACTGGCCCATGGATTGTTCTTGGTTTCCCTGCTACCTTCCTTTTGTCTGTCTGTCAAAACTTACCTATCTTCCAGGGCCCTCTGCAATAGGTTCCTTATGCTTGAAGGCTTTCATAATTTCTTCAGCCAGATAAGGTCCCCCTTTCTGCAATTGGGGAGCATTGTGCACTCCCCTATCACTTTCTGGCATTTCAATCACTTCATCGAACTCCAGAGCACCATTTTGCCCAATTTTTTTCAGGTTTCTGATGAAGAAATAGAAGCATGGAGAAGAGGAGGGCAGGAGCAAGGGCTCAGAGTTGTTTGTTCCCTCACCTTCTGCCCTGTAGAGAGATGCCAACCATCACCAGAAAGACATCATGGAGAGAGGCTTATGGTCAATTTTGCATGTTAGAAAGATGACTCGGCTCTGGTGGCAAGGGCACATTGAGAAGTGGTTGCTGCCATGCAGGCCAGGCATAATGGGCCTGGATTAGAAGAGAGACTGAAGGAGGGAGCTGAGGAGAAGGTTTGCTAAGTCCACAGAAGGGGGAATCAGCTGGACTTGGGGACTGCCTGGCTGGAGAATCAGGGAGAATTCAACTTTTCTGATGTTGGTGACTGGGATGCAGGGTGGTGTTGGTGCCAGTGAGAAGCAAGGAGGGCAGGAGGCCCTGGAGTCTGGAAACAGAGGATTCTTAAAGCAGGGAAAGGAACAGAGTTGGGAGATACTAAATAAATCTCCTTCTCCTCATGTGAGTTTTGCCAAACCCCTTCTCTTCTCTACTTCTTGGTGTGCCAATCTGCATCATGAGGATTTAGACCATCAGATCCTATGCCCAAGTTTAGCCAGCCATAGATCCACTAAAGAGCATCTCTGAATGTATTATTCAGCATCATCCTTCCTCTTTAATCTCTGCCTGTCAAAACCTGGAGGTCCCTCCAAGGCATAGCTCAAATGCCATCTTTTCTTGGACACTCTCCATGTTCTCTCAAGCAGGAAATGCTTTCTCACTCCTGCCCACAGGCTTCAGTATTATGTCTTGAACTGTCTGTCTCTTGGGAACAGAGACATATTTGTAAAATATCTCCTATTGAAAGATATGATCTATTGAGCTCATACTGTGTGTCAAGCTGAGAACATTGTATTCCCTCCTTATTAAAACACTTTCAGGTTAACATAGATGCTTCTCTTTCCCTAGGGATCATTGACTTCCTTGTGAGCCAGCACCCGATTGCTCGTGTCTTACGGGAACACCTGGTCTTCAAGATTGCACCAATGCTCAACCCTGATGGAGTGTACCTGGGAAATTACAGGTGAGGGGCTGTGGCGAATGCTTGGAAGTTGGTAGTCATAGGATAGTCATATGAAAGAAAGAAGAAATAGGGGGTATATCTATGAGGAAGAGACTACCCTTGAGTTCATGATGGGAAGATTCAGCTTGACTTTTGTGAATGTGGCTGGTGAGCCTTGGCTATTTGGTACACTGTCACCTGAGGTCACTTGTTAGGGTTTTCTGGACAGCTCACTGGACCAAGAATCAGAACACCTAGTGTCAGTTTGTGCAACTACTTCCTGTATAACTTGATGATTCACTTTTCTCTCTGAGGCTTAATTTCTCTTGCATAATCAACAGATTAATTGCTTACATGGCAGGACATTTGTGAGCATCAAAAGATATGGTGCAGATGAATGTGCTTTGAAGAATATTATATGATGTTTTAATGGTTACTATTTTACTTCTGTATTTCTTCTCTTGGATATTATTAATGAAGAAGAGTACCATCCTACATCATCTAAATAGTATTTCTCTTTGGTGTGGGCATCCCAGCTAGCCCCAACCTTACTTATATATTAATGTCTTGAACTCTCTTTCTCATGGTTTAGCACCAAAAGTTACAGCCTAAAATTCTACTGCCCAGTGGATCATCTACAAAAAGAACATTGAATCATCTCTGAAAGGCAGTGCTATTACCCCCATTTCACAGTTGAGGCAACTAACTTGCCAAAAGTCATACAGCCAGTGAATGATGAACTGTCTGACTCTACCACTCAAATTATATAGCTATGGAGATGAATTTCAAAATAATATTCAAACTCCTCTGCCTGGCACTTAGGGCTCTTTATGGTCTGGCGCCTGGTGTCTATTGTTCTGCCTTACTTCTCACCCTCCTGCCTCACCTCCCACCTTCTCCTCTTAGAGCTCTTGCTCCAGCCATTCTGTACAAAACCTAATTCTCCCAGACATGTCCTGCTGGTTCATGGGGCCCCACTTTCACATATTCACACATACTGCTCTCTGCCCAGAACCTCCTCATCCTGTCTTCATCTCACAAACTCATCTTCAAAACTCAGGTCACATCCCTTTTTCTAAAAAACATTTCCCAAACACTGAAATAAAATCAACCACTCCCTTCTCTGAGCTCTTACAGGCCCAATTATTGAACAAGTCTTATCCCAATGCATAGATGCCCTGGACCACAAGCTACCAGAGGGCAGGGACTGAACCTTCATGATCTTTGTGTCCTCAGTGCCTAGCAGCAGGGATCAGTGCACAGGAGATGCTCAAAAAGTATTTGATGACTATGAGTGTGTGAAAAGAATAACTTTATTGATAAAGAAATAGAGGTCCAGAGATGAGATGGAACTTCTCCCAGGTCAGTGGCATAGCTCAAATCAGAACATATTTCCTGACTCTCAGTCAGGCCTACTTTACATAGAGTTAGTTTACTACTTTCAAAGAGCATGGCAGGTGATTGGGCCCAGCAGGGCTTACTGGTACCCCTGGGTATGAGTTAGTGAGAGCTCAAGGGATGAATGAAGCCTTAATTAAAGACAGTTTTGCTTCCTCTTTTAATTGGGAAAAGTGATGGTTTATTAGCATTTGCAGATTTTATGGCTTTCTGCAGACGAAGAGCAATGGCTTTCCACCTTCCCTGGACAGAATGCACCCTTCGTGATAATGCTGGTGGAAAAACCACTTGATCTATATTAACACTTCTGTTTAATTATGAGAGCAGCAGTGGTCATATAGAGGTCAATACCACCCACTCATACATTGATTTATGTAATCATCTGCTGTCTAGAAGAGGATGAGGTAGAAAGCAACCTTAGTCAAAATGCTCCCCTCTCTGGGTCTCAGATGACCAACAAGGAGGAGATGAGGGACTGTATGCTTTCCTTATGTCTGCAAGCTCCAGAGTTTGTGATTCTGGGGACTTCAATATAAAATATGTCCAGCCAACAGAAATGTTTTCATACTGAAGTTTTAACCCCAATATTCTCCTAGTGAGAATATGTGATTCTCATGATAAGAGTTGGAAAAAATCTGTAACCACAGGCATTAATCCTGTTGCTAAAACAGCTCTGAGTAGCAGCAAAGATATCAATTATGAAAATTCACTGCTAAATCTTTGAATAATATAAAAAAATAATAAAGACTCAGAATTGAGAGCTTCAAGATGCCATAGAGGTTTTCTAGGTCAGCCACTTTCAGCCGTACTACTCTCCACAGCAGTATTTCCCATGGTTCAGTGGGACTTACCAAAGCATTATGGAGGAAAAGGAGTTTGGAGGCCAAATAAGTTTGTGAAACACAGAGTTATGCACAGTATTATTTTACAACAGGATTAATAATAGGGAATCACTAGAAGGGAATATAGTAATACAGTATTTCCCAAAGGTATGTGTGATGGAACAATTTCCCTATAGAGGTTTTGTTTTGTTTTGTTGGTTTAGTGGTATTAGGCTTTACAAAATGCATTTTGGGATAATTTGAAAAAGGATAATGAGAGTAGTTGAATGATAAATGGAAGAATGTAATCAATGTCACTGAATTATACATGTAGAAACCATTGAATTGGTTTATATTTTCCTTTGTATATTTTCACTAAAAGAAATTAAAAAAATGCTACTCTAAGAATTTTAGTTGCTGATCCAGTGCCATTTTAAGGCCTCACATACTTATTTAATCTTCAGCAACCCTGTTAAGGAGTCTTTGTTAATATTTTTTCTACTTTCAAATAATAAAATTCTACTCAAACTAACTTAAAAAAAAGAAAAAGGAAAGGAAAGAGAGAGGGTGAGAGGGAAGAAACAAGAAGTGAGGGAAGGAGAGAAGGAGGAAAGAAATACAAGTCAGAATTCTAGTTTTGTAAATTTAGTAAATTGAGCCAGACTTCACAGGAACTTGATCAAAGAGCAGGAAGATGGTAGGAGACTAGGCAACTTCTCTCTTATGTTCTCTGACTTTTACTTTCTCGACATCTCCCTCAGGGTGCATGGTTTCTTCAGCCTCAGAGAAGTTAAATAATCTACCACAGGTCTTATATCTGGGAGGAGTAGGTGGAGATGCAGTTCTGAGCGCAAGCTTAGCTCACACCTCACTCCTACACTGTTTCCGTGGCCTGGACTGCACCAAACGCATTCAGCTTGGTTGGAGAGACAGCTCAACAGGCCAGTTCCCTACAATGTGAGAAGTGAAGGCGAGGCTTTTGGGAGGGAGTGATGGTAGTTATTCAGGACATAGACTTGAATGTCAGGTCATATTTCAATTTCTGGTTCTACCTCCTACTTGCTGCATAACCTGGGGTAAATTGAATGGTCTCTCTAAGCTTCATTTGTCTCCTGCACATCGGGATTTACATTTAGAAAACAGTGCTAGCTAGGCACATTGTAAGTGCTAAATATATAT